CAGCAGCTCCAATCGTAGACAAAATAAATTTGGTTCGCTGTCTACGACATGCATTAATAAAACGCTGTATTCTGTTACGCCCGTTGTATACTGTTTATGTGCATCCATGTGCATAAGTGGTCCGTCTTCTCTCGTGTTCCTGTGCACGTCGCTTCAAAATTAGAACGAAACATGCCAGCAGCAGAAATAGAACCTCGCGCGTGTCATCCATTTTTTGTTCGTAAATAGCGGCTTACCAAAGGTCACTAACTAATGGCAGCCCTTAGCCCATGCTAACGACTGGCCCTCCCTGTGCGTGGACGCAATTGGGTCTAGCCGAAATGCAAATATGCTAGATAAGCCTAAATCAGCTTAAATCTTAGCCCGTACTTCGTGTAACGTGAACACAACTAATATGAACTATGAACAATGCATGTGAAGCCAGCTGTGGGGTATATTCAATCCTATAGATTTCTCATTGTTTGGTAACTATTTGCTGCAAATGCAACAAAAATCAATATAAAAAATATTACCCACATAGTATTCTACAGGTTACTTGTTTTTATAGTTATTGATACAGCAAATTTCCAGTAAACTAATTTTTTTTTCAAAAAAAGACAAAACTGAACTAAAATCATTATTGAAAATGAAATTGCACATAATTTCAATGGTGACAGTGTACACTTTGGTGACATTTTAATCTGCTGCACAGATTGGGGTGTCAACTATATCACAATCCCATAATTGAGGGACAGTTACTACTATTAATAAAGTACTTATTTTCACATGAAATTTATTTTTACGATTTTCGGCTGAAGGGATGAATCAGCAAAAACTAATCCAGCTATTTCAGCTAATCCAGCTATTTCAGCTAATCCAACTATTTCAGCTAATCCAGCTATTTCAGCTAATCCAGCTATTTCAGCTAATCCAGCTATTTCAGCTAATTTTTGCCTTGCTTCCTATATTTCATATTCAGCTCATCAAAAACCAGTGAAAATAAATTTCATACAAAACAGCCAATTTTTGTTCAGTGCGAATAAACTTCAGCTAAAAAATAAAGCATTTTACAGTACATTGTATATGTGTGCGTAAATTGAATGTTGATTTGAGTTTCGCACATGGGGAACATACTGTTGAATACCATTCAATGCATTATTTTATCTCAATGTCTTTTATGCACTAGTATTATAGCAATATATATATACCTGAAATTATACTGAAAAGTCAATATAAATATCACATGACAGTTCTGCCGCGTCAACAAAAAGATTGTACTTACACAAGCAATGACGTTGGGGAGGTATGTATGGGGGTCTAAAAATTAACTCTGCGACGCGATTGTGCGACTCGCTGAATGTCTATTATTGCACTCTGCGACAGGATCGCAGTCACTCTGCGAAGAGCACGATTTCCATTGGTTGGTTGGTCGAAAAGCATGAATCTCAATGGTCGATCGATGTAAGGGTACACAGCATGCCTTATAGAAATGTTCAGTTTTAAATGGTTATTTCGCCGACTGCTCACGAACTACGGTAAACAAGTATTTACCGACGACATGCCGCACGGTTCGGTAATCAGCAAGTATTTAACATTGATTTATTAACATGTATAACATCCCTCGGAGGGGATGAGAGGGGTTACAAAACACATGCACGTTGGTGTTGGGTGCCTTATTACGGTGTAACATCAGGAAGCTGGTAACATTAACG